GACCTATTGTTTGGCTGAAAATCGAGCCTTGGGGGTGAGTTCAGTTGTTGACCCTAAGGGTGGTGAAGGGGCATTTGAGGTGTCACCAGTTTCTCTGTGGTCAGTAAGTCTGATCTTTTTTGTGGTTCTGAGTTTTGTTTCATCTTTTTTTCTCCCACTTTATCTAAGACCTTGTCCATCCAGTTCTTCTAGTCTTTTGAAATACTAAGTAGTGATTTACAGAAGGGTTGCAAAGATGGTATAGCGTCTTCACACATACCCCTCAGCCAGTTTCTCCTCCTAATGATAGCATATAATCATGGAGGCTGAAGTTCTCATGGTCCATTAGGCCATGGACTGTTTCCATGGGCCTTTGATTTTCTTTACTCTTCTTTCTTTGAGATAGAGAGTTACACCTTAGATGGCCACTCACAGGCTATTCACCAGGGTGGGATGTAGAGCATTGTCTTGTGGACTATGTTATGCCAGTTAACCTTAGTGTCCTCTGAGACCATGGTCCTGAGCTTCCAGGCCCCCTGACTCATTCCTTCAAGGTGTTTGGTTCTTAGAATTCTAGCAAGTTTGCATAACTTTGCCACCTGTGTGCTCCCTCCACCAAGGAGTCCTGGTGTGGATCTGTAGGATAAGTACTGGACCACAGTGGCGGTTTAGACTGCAAAGTGGCTGTTCAAAGTCATCTGCGAGTCCTTGGCAACTCTGTACAGGGTCACTATGAGTCGGAACCAACCAGCAACAACGCTCCACCACATTCATGGAATATATTTGCTGTGTGGGTAAATACACTTGTAGAAATGTGTATTTCTTCCACACCCAAATGTGTGTCTCTCCTTGCATCTACTTGTAACCCTGTAGATTATTGCAGATTGTGTATATAATAATATTCACCTTTGTTGCCTTTAATTCCTGTCTACCTGGTGTGGTGCTGTGGATTAATGCGCTGTGCTGCTAAGTCAGTTTGAACCACAAGTCAGCAGTTCAAGCTCACCAGCTGCTCCTTGGAAACCCTATACAGGGTGGCTATGGGTCAAAACCAACTCGACAGCACTTAACAACAACTGTCTAGTTAGTAATTTACCCTGCTTTCCCCTCCCACTCTTGGCAACCAGCAGAGAATGTTTCTTTTTGTGTGAAAACCAGTGGTCCTGTACAGTATTTGTCCTTTCGTGATTGGCTTGTTTTCGTTCAGCATAATGTCCCAGGTTCATCCATGTTTTGAGGTGTTCTTAGATTCCTCATTGTTCAACGTTTAGAAATATTCCATTGTGTATAGTACCATAGTTTGTCTATCCATTCTCCAGTTGATGGGCATTTCAATGGTTCCCATCTTTGCTGTTATGAATAGTGCTATGATGAATATTTTGTTTTCTTGATATTGAGATGCAATCCATACCGAAAGCTTTGCAAACAAGAAAACAAAAATCCTCACCACTGGACCAATAAACAACATTCTTGTCAATGGAGAAAAGATTGAAGTTGTCAAGGACTTCATTCTTCTTGGATCAACTATCAAC